GCCCCCCACCATATACTGCAAGACCTGGGAATAGGAATGCAGATGGACTTGTGTTAAATTATAAGATGGGTGCCTAGTCTCGTGTTCCAGTCGTAACATAAAATCTCAGCCAAATTCTAAACTTAACTATGTATACCCCTAAGCTCAACCCTAACACTAAACTCCCTGGAATGTAAGGTAAGGCCATTTGCATTCCGGGACGTTCCAACTGTAAATGTCGCCCCATCCTGCTGCCCTTGTTGCTTCTCCACCGCACCCACTGTTGCCCTACCAAATCGAAGATTATTATAAAGGCTTGATATTGAACAATTGAGAACGTTCGTTTGCCTAAGCTGGCCAGGATTTTTTTTGTCAAACGAACGCCTGAATGGTAAATTATTGCAGAATCTGCTATAAACCTGACGTCTACTTTCGATTAACAGCTTCGAAACAGAGGCCCAACGGGAGGCCCAGCCACGCCAGCATTCGCTCTCGAAGGATTCTGCAGTGCCTGCTACTAGTGGTGGTGGTGGTGGTGCCCAAACTCCTGTCACTACGCCGACCTCAACGGACGAGATGGGGGGCTGGATCAACATCCGCCAAGTGCTCAGTTTCGATCTGGGTCAGCAGCCGCAGTATCGCCCACAGACCGCCTATGTCCTGCGTGTGCGTCGTGGACGTGAACAGAACCCTGTCAAACTACCAATCACCCCCACCATTACTGAGTGGATGGAGTTCATCTTTAAGGCGGTTGACAATACCGGTTCGTTTTTTCCCGTCCTTCCTAGCAAGAGCTCTCTCTCCTGTTATAGAGGTGGTGTTGACAGACAGACAGACAGACAGTGTGGACATAGGATGCTTTGAGATTTTTTGAGCGCTAGGATTCTCGCTATTTATTCTGGTGCTTTTTAGTGGAATGTTGTTTAAACTGTTTTCAGAAGAGGACGCCGACTCGCCAAATGTGTTTAGATACTCAGTGGGCATTGGAAACCCTGGCAATCGAATATGTGACCCGCTAGCCTTCACTTCCATAAAGTGTCTACTTATGTTATTTGAGTGGGCTTAATTTAATCGTCTAGTTCTCTCGTTTTCCGCTACGCTTCACTGTAGTGTTACGTCGGATGGCTCGATTTTTAATTCAAGTTTACACCAATTACTCTTTTTTTCCCTTCAGTTATCAGCCACGTGGGGGGATACAGCCCACAATGCCTTTTGGACGTCGTCAAACGTAAGTTTTACTTTTACCCCCTTAGACTTTATTTCCGTTTGTTTACTGTTTACCAATGAATCTTTGGATAATGTCTCTTGTTGTTCTCTAAAGCCTTCCAAGGGCTGGTCCAAGCCTAATTTCCTGGACTAGTCGCGTTATTCAGATAGTCTATTAGCCATCTCGTCAAGACTAACAGGAGACAGCAGTCGTTTTTAAAACCGACTTATCATCCAATAAGCCTAGCCTTCGGTAGCTGCAGAAAATATTTTCTAGCTGGCACTATCGACCTCAGCGGATGCAGTCA